CTTGTATCGGTGGAAATCATGTCCGAGGCGTCCAAGGTGGAACTGCGTACAATGATTGGTGAAAAATGAGTATTGGCCAGATCAAACCCGTTTCACCAGCAGTACCGCAACACCGCAGCAGTTCCTCGAAAATTGGTTGTCGCCCAATCCACGTGACGCCATGCTTGGCGCCATGAGCACTAAATCGCACGGCCAATGCTATTCCATCTTGTTTTATCTCTTTGCGCGGCTCGGCTCTGGACAAGTTGATGACGATGATCGCTTCCGGTCTGGCCCCCGCCGCATCTCCAGCCGCCACCACCGCCACCGCCATCACTACCCAGGATAGCCCTGCCGACATCAAAGCAGCACCAACGGTGGCGACAAAAAGTGTGGCGTCCTCCACATGTAACGCACAACGAATGGAGAGATTCCGTGATTCGCTAGAGCGCTACATCGCGGGGTACGAGATAGACCCATCCCCGTGCTACATCGCGCTGGAAGCGGCTATCGCTAACCCTGGAATTGGGCAGGCAGCACAGGAATCCCGCGATGAGCTCATGGTCCTGCTTTTGAGCTGTGTCGTAGGTGAGACAATGTGTGTCAACACACACTTTTTGTCAACTCAATGACTGTTGAAACGTTGAGACTGCCGTTCATGCGCAGCCATGTGCCGTCCTGGCGAGGATTAGCTGTGGAGATGGAAGCCGTGTCCTGCATCCCTCGTTCTTTGGCACGACTCGCGGCAGTGCCTTCGCTTGCCGTACTCACCTGAGACGTCCCGAAGTTGACTCCTTGGCGTTGCGTTGCTGTGACTTACCCTGCCTTACCCTGCCTCACCGTGTCCGTCTCGACGTCGTATACATGCGTGCGTGTATGCTGTGGCTACGAGCAGATAGCGAGCGACGGGAAAACCTGCACATCCGCTTCATCCGGTCCAATCCAATGGTCGTGACTCGGTGCTACAAGTCGCTGCACTGCTACCCGTGAGACTTACGATACAGCGAGAGAGAGGGGGGAGGTCATATGTGCTTGTGAAAGAGGAGGAGAGAGAGATAGATTGAGGGAGTGACAACGAGACGGATCAAAAATAGAGACAAGTGTGCCGATACTCAGCATCCCGTCCGACAAAATACTCCAAGAGGGCATTGTTAACAATGTTAAACATGACTCACTTGTTGAAATGTGCTATCAACGCAGAGGGCATCGGTTGAAGGTTGAAGCGAGACTATAAACCCAGGATATAGAATAGCTTCTCCTTAATTGCTGGTGCAGCATCCTCCGCCACGATTGATGTTCGCCCTTTTTTCCTCCACACGTAGACTGGGCAGAGCATGATATAGCACTATGGTCGCCGTGCGTAGGCCCTTCAGACAGATGACTATAAGAAAACTAGCATACCTGTCTTCTCGAATTCCTGAAAAAATGTTCGCACCATACTCGGACACAGGTGCCGTGTGGTCGGCGGACACCACCCTCAGACATGCGAGCAGTACGAGGCCGGGCGAGGCCACCAGGACGTCTGCAAGTGTCCGGGGTGTGGCGTTTACGTTGTAAAGGGCGATGGTGAGACCGAAGAAGAACCAAGGAACACCGCACATTGGAGGTGTATGTAGGTGGACACACATGCCACCGAGAGAACAAAAGAAAGGTCTAAATTTCGTTTTTGTTAGATCCTATTGTTCGGTGAGCTCGTGGCCATCGCTTTTTGGGTCTGACGGATCGAGAACCGAACGTACTGCACGAAAGTCAGAACCGTGTTTACTATGAAGAAGATAATAGCGGCAGCAGGACGTGGAGGGGGCGTGCAGGCGTGAATAAGCGTGCTGCTGCGGTATCGGAGAAAAAAATAGACGTTACATGGTGCCTCCTGTGTAGCATCCTATGCATACGCGCAACTTTTGTCGCACTTGCCTAGACGCTGCTCTCGTTCACGCGATCGGTTTCTTGCTTCACCTTCCAAATGGTCCCCATATATGCGTGTCTTCCAATTGCGACGCAGGCTGTGACAGTATCAGCTGCGTCTGCGGCCACTGCTTCAACTGGAGCGAGCTGGTCGCAGCACGCCACAGGCGGATCGTGGACGCCTTTCGAGACGCCCATCCCGAAGACACCGGTCGGGCGGCGGCACAGATCATCCGACGTGGCCCTCCCACGGCTGCCGACCTCGGCACCGGTCCCCAGGTTGGTCTTCCGCTAGAGTTTTGATGTCCCTTCGCACCAACGACCATTAGCGTTGATTTTGTCATGGTGTCGGGGGGCGAAAACAAATACCATACACAAATATGGTGCTTATTGGGGCAAGCCACTTGAGCTGATTTTTGCGTGATGTCCCGTGCTAATGTCGTCCATGCCCCGTGAATTCAGGAGGACATCAACGAACACGTTGGTGCACACGGGGACATCGAGGCGCAGCAACATGGGGTTGAACATGGACCGGGAGCGGGGGCTGATGCCGGGCAACCAAACCAGGAAGCGGTCCAGGAACTGGAACGAGCACCGCGTCATAGAACGGGTCAGGGAACTGTTGAGGAGGAACGGGATGAGCCGGTCCCGGTCCCGGGAGAAAACGGGCGTCTTTCGGCGGAGGACGAGTTCCGATTGGCAAACGCCTACGCGGAGGCATACCGTCGAGAGCTTGCCCGAGGGCGTGCGGCCATTTACGGGGAAGAGAACCCACACTTTACAGTGCAGCGGGCTCGTGCTCAGGTGAGAATTCCGAATTCTGGCTCGGATGCACATCGACGAAATGCGTTCCCTTCTTTAGCGTGGCCCACGTCGGATAGTACGATTCGCACGGTCACGAGAAAAGGTCAAGGAGTAAGAGCTTGCATCCCCCGCAACAGGTCTATAGTGTTTCCCGGCAACGTCGACAGGAACGTTTACACAGACAATTCCTGGTTTCCCGGAACGTTTGTCCGACGCATAGGACGCTTTTGCCGGCATGGAGCAGAGAAGTGCGGTCGTTGGCGATTTGTTCGGGTATGGTGAGGAAAATCAAGGATAACGTAGTTGCCAATGTGCTACAGCAAAGTATTGCAGCAATAACAACAATTCCCAGGCGGAGAATGACGTCGTGACTAAACGCCGCCGTTGGATCTCCGGTTTCACGCTCGTTTGCACCTCTGAGGTCTTGAAATGAGTCCAGGAGCAACTCCCCGTTCTGCTTTCACGGAGTTCTCCGCGCACACTCCTCAGCACCCTGTTTGCGAACTCTGGGGTCGTTTCGCCCGACGTGCCGTTGATGTTTCTGACATACCTCACCACACTCTTCCGGCGGATGTGTTCTTTGAATGACAGTCCGATCAGTCCGATCAGTTACCGCCTTTGTCGGCGTTGAGCTACTTCCGTCAACCGCGCCCTGCTATTTGCACTAGCGAAACCGAAGCAGCGTGGCTAACGCGTGCCGCCGAGGACTGGCTTACGACCAACCAGGTGAGGGAATGAGTTCGGGGTTTCAGGCATATATCTGGTTTGAACCTTTTGATGGTGCTATTGGTCGTGGTAGAGTGACAGTCAACTCCTTAAAAGGGGAGACGCGTGCTGACTTGATGTTTTTGCCCTACCTACTTGGTCAAATTGTCGATATTTTGCGATAGATACTTGACGGAATGGGTTTCTGGCGGCCAATCCTTGTGTCTACACAAACCAGCTACTTGAATTCGTTCTCTGCTCGTTATACAGCATAGGTGCTTCACTGACAGTGGTTCGTCGGTTGGGTGCGGACGCGCCTAGCGCGACATCTCTCAAGTTCGATTTTCGACGACGTGCTTCCATCCTTGTTCCCCCAAAATGTTCGATTGCAACAGGGCAAAGTGAACGTTGTTAGACGAAGGGATGAGGCCGCACGTTCCTCGCTCGTGGAGGCCTTCTACAGCGGTGACGACCTCCTTCGGCACATCGCGGCGGAGTACGCCCGATCCGCCCTCCGCGTCGCTGCCCCCTTCACAAGCGTCGCCGCCACCGACCGCCCGCGCGCGTTCTGGAGTCGCCTCGAGCAGTATCAGCAGCAGCAGGCCGATGGGGAACAGAACGGCGAGCCCCTGTTCAAGTGGCTGGGCATCGTCGAGCCCCCTCCCCCGACCGGCGACCAGTCAACGTGGAAGGACGATGACGATGGCGCCGTGGCTGACGAAGATGCGTGGGAGGCGCCCTTCGCGAATGCCGAGATCGAGGAGGAGACGTTCGAAATCCTGCCTCCCCCGCAAACGCTGTTTACAGCTTGGCCGTCCGCGCGCACGGAAAGGGTAGACCTTAGGCCCACCCCTCCGAGTTCGTGGGGACGTAGGCGTGCACTGGACCCGGCCAGCAGACTAGTGTCGGCAACGTCGACCTTCGGGACTCTTAGGCTTCGGGCAGAGGTTGAACTTTGGGTGGCCGGATCGAATATTCGCCAGAAGGGTCTGCGACGCCTGATGGTGGGTGTCTTGAACCGAAAGAGCAGATTGGCACGAAGCGTGTCTTCGCTCTCCTTTCCCATCCCGCCTGCACATCGTCTTTTTCGACATTCGATCGCCTCGCCGTCGTTGTGTACGCTGAAATCCTCTCCTCTTCTTTTTCTCTTGGTTCGCCTCTTTTTTTCATCAAAACGCAATATTTCAACGGGAAACGTCCAACACCACAGTAGATAACCACCCGCTGTTTTGACCACGTTACCCAACCTACCGCGCACACCTTGGCCTGGCTGCAGGCCGTCCATGCAGGCCGTCCAGGAACGCGAGCTATCCAAGGCTTGGGTCGCCCTATGGGGTCACCGTCGTCGTCTCGACCCCGTCTCGAAGACTTGGGTCGACGCCGATGACTCCGGTGACGCCGCTGTACGTGCGGCAGCCCGACGTGTCGTTTTCCTCGAGGCCCACCCGGAACAGGTGTGTGCGACGGTTGTCGAAACCTTTGTGAATGGCAGGACATTCTTCGACAACGCTCTGCCGCTTTCTCTGTTTTTAGTTTCTCGGTACCTGCCTCTGTCTGACTTTGTCTCTGCGTTCGGGGGCAGCATAGGCACAGGCCCACGAACCCTACCAAGATAAGGCGATCGTGAAACGCATTACTCCACCAAACCTCGCTGTTACGCACTGCATCTACCATCCTTTCAGGCACGGGGATTGGGCGTCTCGGCAGCTTACCTTTCTCCCCCCTTGTTCGTGAACGCAAACAAGGATGCGTTCAATTCGTTTCCGCGTTAACCCTGACCTGTTGTTTGGGTCTTGTCGGTAGGCTTGCCAGGAGCAAGGGGCGATGATGAAGGCCTTCATCCGCCGCAATGGAGCAGTAGTTTTGAAAGCCGTAGAGGAAGCCGATGCCGAGCTAGCCGCTGCGTGGGAGCGTATGCACGACAACCGCGACGACGTCGACGCTGCTCACTCCTCAACCACACCTCCAGCCTCGACTTCCCCTGCAGCGTTTGACCGCGCGTACACCGCCTACCGCAAGCACATTGACACCCGGGCCTCCGCTGCCCTGGTGGCGAACTCACTCCCTCCGACGTGCGCGGCATCGGCAACCCTGCAACTCCGGAGGATTGGTCGGATGGTCGATGCCTGGGAGTCTGCTAACCACCGACGGGTATGTGCCCAGAGATTCGCCGACCACTTCAGCGGCGCTGCTGGCGCAGAGAAGGCAGCGCAAGAACGCGAGGCTCTGCCGAAGCGACCGCGGGAGAGCCGCGCGGCGGCCAACGAAGACGCCACAGCATTCGGTGACGTCGTGGCCCTTGTGGTGGCGCCAATGCTGATTGGCCGCGCGTCCCAGATGTGCGAGTGCGACATGGAGGCTATCCTGAGCAACGCGGTGGACTGGGTTGCCTTCAACGGGGAAGCGTTCGAAGAGGAATTGCAGAGGATGGAGGCCAGGCTCAAACTGCCACCAGGGACGATGGCAGGGAAGGACGGAAAAAACGAAGGGTGCTCGGAAGGGGGTATGGGGAGAATACTGGATAGATGCGAGTGCAAGCTCGAACGTTCAGTTTCGTCTTGCAGCCGGCTGGTGGCGTGCCCAATCGTTACGCGTCGGATATTGAGGGTGCCCAAGCCCGTTTGCCCGGAGTGCGAGGATGGCAGCGGCGTGTTTGGCACAGATTTGTTCGACCTGTTCGCTTAAATTTCCCTCGTTATATAAGGTAGAGAGCGAAAGCAGAATAGGTATGTATGTAGATATTTCGTGTACTCTTTTCACCCGATCGATCTCTCTACCGCATGATACTGGTCTTGATGGGCGTTTACGCGTAGCAGTGTAGCTTCACTCGTGGTAGTCACTTGGAGATGTATATAAGAGGTTGTGACCTGCTCCCCTCGCCTATCCGTGCCAAATGAGACGAAGTCATTGTGGGCCGGGCTAATCAGACACATCAGTGTCGACCTAGATTGTTCTTGTCTCATTGTGGCTTCGTCTGATGGAGGACTGTGAAGTGAATGCGCCGCATGGGCATACTCCGCGACATGTGTCTCGGTGCGGAAGGGGTTCCTTCGAGGTATCCTCCCTTAGGATAAATGTTCCCTAGCCGTGGTTGGATTGTTACCTGTTTATTGTGTTGAGGCCAGCATGCCTTGTTCGTTGTTCGTTTTAGTGTGAACGTTGTCGGAGAGTACGCAGTGATTCGATTATGAAAATGAAAGCGTGCTTAAAATTTACATATACGTATACCAGCCTCACTTTTTGCCATCCCTCGGTTGGAACATTTCTTCGAATTATTCATAGAGGCGAGTAGTGGTTCTCGAAGACTTGGTATCATAGTCTACTGGTACAAGTCACCTGGTTTCACGCCGCGCAAATGTTGGTCAAAGGGGGGTATCCTACCCTGCCAAAAGGGTTGAACAGACAAGCTGCTGTTCCTCGCAGAAACACGCAGGCCGTACATTGCGTGACGCAGCGTTGCTGTATATTGCTAGCGAAAGGAACAACAAGCCGAGCGTCCTGTGTGGACGTATGAAGCCTTGCAAAGTTGCTACATGGTCACGCCACAACCCTGAGCACCAAATGATTCGGGAGGATACGCGAAGCCTTGGAAAGATACTGTTGATAGCGCAGGGAATTTGTGTCTCTACATTAGTTAGAGTTGTATAGGAGGAACAGCGCTCTCGGTCGAAAAGTGCGGTTGCAGTATTGAATGGTTGCCCGCTTCGCTCTTCACTCCTGTGCCTCTAGTAGCTGCAAGGGTAGCGCGAGGCAAGCGTATGTGTCCTCGGCCCATTTCCTTGAAGTAGTGTACGTTTCGCACGGACCCTTTCGAACAAGGGAGAGGCAACGCACGAAACATCAACCGTCAAGATGGAGTTGGTCAATTTACAGACTCCACCATGAAGGATATTGTCGAGGTTTTGTTGTTACGGCGTTGAAATTTCATGAGGCTCCGCGACCCCTAAGAGCATCCCCGTCGGTATCCTACGCGGCTATTTTCCAGATGCAAAAGCTGTAACGAGTGCCGCAAAGTCGGTGGCCACCACTACAGCTGAGTGGGTGGGCTTGAGCACGTAAGCTTTAATTTTGGCAGTCCCGCGAAAAGGATGGCGCTCGGCGGTCTCATCTCTCACTCCTCTCACGATGAATCGGAAACAGAAGCAGTCAGAGCAGGCGGTGTTAAGGTAGAGCCCATCCCTCTGTGGTGAAAAGGGACTTAACCCTTTTGTGACGGAGGTACCCTGCGGCTCTTCCGGGGGGCAGATGCGACCCTTCGGCCCCAACAGCCCGAAGTTTCAACAAAGAACGATAAGCAGGACAACGAAAGCTGCTAAAGAGTCTGGCGCGCGAGCGCTTTCTCACAGAGCACGTCTGCGCACGTCTGCGCGGCATCGCGCGCAGAGTACAGTCAATACACTAGCAGGATACGCGCGGTATTCGGCGGGGCCGGGGGGGGTAGAGGGTGTGCCAGATGAAAAGGGTGTAGAAGGGGAAGGCACGCAAACGTAGTGGCTAGATTTTGGCATTTAGCAACTGACATACGGTTTAATGTGAAGACAAAAACATCAACAACAACAACTCTCGGGCGTGGCGCTTTGCGTGGCGATTGACTATGTCCTAGCCGTAGATTGCCTATGGCCAGGGTATTCTTCAGGTTCCAGCCCAATATCGCGATGCGGTGGTTTACTACTGCAATTATAACCAACCGGTAGGCACGTGCGTAAGTTGGAACGGATAGTTGTTGATATTTCGTCCGTCAGGGGGGAGGGCGCAACCAAGTATTGCGTGTGGACGGGAAAGAACGTCATACGGTACACGTGTTTTTTTGCCATTCGTGGAGCAGATATAGTGCAAAGAAGGCCGGCTTGAGCGGGATGGAGAGGATTGCAATTGCTTGAGTGCCGTTTTTGAGGAGACAAGGGAGGCTTTGTTTGTGATGTGCATCGTGTGTGGGCCGTTGGTTATTTTATCCTATCCTTAGAACGTCGTGTATTGTTCCAGCAAAAGCAAGACGAATTGGTAGTTGGTCGTGGATAAAAGCGGGTACAGAACGCGCCACCACTAAACCTCCTTGTTTGGCCGATGCTTGTTTCTTGTTTAGTCTACGGGGTACCCCCATAGCGACTATAAAGGTTTTAGTGAGAATATCTTGCTTGAGCACCTGTTTTTGTGGCCAAGTTCTTAGATTTTGGATTTTTTCAGGCTCAAAATCTTTATTGAGTGGTGGCGCGTTCTGCCACGACACGAGACATTGAACATGAATGCAACAAAAAAAAAGTCCCGCGATCGCGATGGCTAATAATTTATGTACCAGTACAGACAACACGCTGCAATCTCTGAGGCAGTTTTCTTGCAGGGTGCTATTTGGGCCACCCTGGCAGGTTGTCCGTTAAAGACGCTGCAGCTGGTTCACCTTTCTGCCGTTCACAGGGTAGGGTACCTTGGCAGGGTGGTTGTTGGCCACCCTGCCAGGGTAGCCATTTGGCCACAGGTGATTGGCGTGCCCTTGCAGGTGATGAATTGAGGAATTCGGAGCCACTGATCAGGGGTATGATAATCCGTGCAGTTGCAGAGTTGTCGGCCCACTAGGTTCGTTTACAGTGAGCAGCCAGTGGTGGGGCGAACGCATGAGGTGGTGGAGAGAGTGACATCCCCCTGGGGTCAAATACAGGGCGACAAGGTCCCTTTACCGCACAAGAGTGGATACCATGTTGTGGGCCAATCTACATTAAAGCAGGAAGGGTAAACAACTATTGAACATACGTTAACCATTTTAGGCGTGCCGGAGAGGTGCTATCATGAGCAGCACCATCAACCCGATTTAGACCACCAGCCTGCTTTTGCAGTGCTTCGTCTGGTGCTGCTTTCAACTGCTCCGATATTGTCACTGTTCACTCCTACAGCGAGCGAGATGCTTTTTCGTCCTCCCAACCGAGCTCGCCCTACTCTGTACTTGCGTCTGGATTCCTACCCTGGCCCCAACCCCAATACTCACGACCCAAACTCCTTCCATCCCGCGGCGTTGGGTACCTCCTATTAGATATATTGGGGGTACTCGTTGCATAATATGACGGGTAAGATCTTCAGTACGTACGTCGTCGTATGGAAATTGCAGTGATGAGATGCGGAGTAATCGGAGAGATCCTTTTGGTAGTTTGAGCGTGATGAGCGTGACGCGTGCTTGATGCCGTGACAGGTTTACGAGCACGAGCACGCCCCCGAAGAATACAACACGGAGATGTAGCATGGATCAAAGCATTTGTTGGACTTCAGCTTTTACAAGAGGACATCAACGCAGTAGTATTTAAGCAAGCTTACGAACGCATTTAGGATACCATGAGGATTGTCATTGGTTTTATTTTCAAATTGAAGAGGAGATATTTTTACGATGTAAGTGACAGTAGAAACAAGTCCTACATATGTTGTTGTACTTCATGTTGGTTTAATATTCATGTAGAGTATGAGACATAAGTGAAAGTTTTCTGGGGTACATCTGTAATTGTCGGAAGGCAAGAAAAAATAAAAAAAACGTTGTCCTGTACGTCCCTCCCCTACCACGACCCGTCATGGCCCAGCTGCTCTACACTCCCAACACACAGCACTGAGCCACCCGAATTATCGATCACGCTAGCGTATGACACGTCGTCAACGATATTCGCGTCGAGCTTAGTTTGGAGTTTCGTCGCTTTGCGGCGATCAGCAGCAGTCACCAATGAGCACCCCCGACCGAAACCGAGACCGAGAGAGCGACCGTCAAGCAGTGGACGACGACGCCCGGATCAACGAGTTGGTGAACGAGAGGGTAGCAGCGAGACTCGCCGAGATTACAAGGCAACAAGATGAGCAACAGCAGAGGACAGAGCACGTCCGGAGCGGGAACGACCACGAGACACGCCACCAGCAACATGCGGGGCGGCCATCGGCCGGCC